ACTGCCGTATTACTCGCGAGCAAACGCTGCGCGATGACTATAAATAATACTGCCGTTTACACAGAGTGTTCCAGAATCACCGAATATATCATAATAAAACCACATTCTCGTCCTCGATTAATTAATCAAAATAACCATTTAGTAATAAGAATACCGAAGGAAATAATTATTTTTCATTTTCTTGCATATCTATTGTATGCTGTAATTAAATTCTAAATCACTATTTTGTTAATGTAAAATCCAATTAAATTATTTCGCATTAAATAAAAATTTATTTTAGTATCCATCTTTTATCTATTAAGTTCGGATTTTGCGTAATCATCATTTATTTTTAACTTTATTTGTTTTATACAAAAATTATTCAAATAGCAAGGTTGAAAATTGGAACACGAGACGATTTTTTTAAATGTCTTTCGTGAAAATTTTTTTTAATCATCCTATGTCCTGATTTTAGATTTTGTCTTGTCTTGTACTCTCTGAGTAGAGTTTCATATTATATATGCAGTCCAATAATTTATAAAGTAAAACGGATACAAGTAATTTATAGACATCCTGTATATTCATACGAAGAATCGCATGTTTAATCAAGCGCAAACAATTGTTGAATGGCGGAGTAATTATACCGACCGGTGCGCCTCCCGATAAGAGAAAATAATTTCATAAACCTTTATAGTAGCTAATGTTAACATTGCAAAAATTTCATCACATTTCTATATTTTGAAAATATTAATCTAAAATATCTCTCTGAATAATACTATATTTTATGCATTATATTACTATAGTCTAAATAAATTTTTATTTCTATTTTTCGTTTTATTGCGCAATTATTTCTTATCTTATACTTAGAAAATAATAATAAAAATTACGAAATCGGATATTTAATGATTGTAATACCGAAATCTCATGAACTATTTTATCCGTCAAGATAAGTAAGTACGATATAAAAATATAATTTAACTTATATAAATTTTATAAAAACTTAACATAATTATTGTATATTATACCGCACAAAATTATCCTTTTATAAAAAAATAACAAAAAATTAGTGCCAAATACACGCGTCCCAAATTATCTTAATAAATTAATATCGTTTAGATTAATTAATAATGTTAATAATAGCATTTAAATTTCTGCTAAAAAAGCAGATACCACAATATTACGGCAATTTAAATAAAATTATGATGCATACTTCATAATACATTCGTTATATCATAATGCTTTGATATCAAAACTATTATAATCAAATATTATAAAATATAATAGTAGTTATATTGTAGCGTGATGGTAAGATTAAATTTTTTAAGAAGACATATGATATTCGAGGATATTTTAATAAAAAATTTTTAAGGTATAAATAAAAAATACATTTTTTCTACAGAAACAAAAAATTTTATCAAAAAAAATGTAAAATAATACAAAAAAAAACGTTATTCAAAATATATTTAAATATAAAAAGCTTAGTGCTGCTAACACATATCACAGTAAGTCAAACGTATGATAAGTAAAAAATATCTTTTAAA